TGAAAAAGCTTCTAAATATAACAAATAAAACTATCACGTTATCCTTTATGCGTCGTATAACATATCAATTTGAATTTGATATTCTTTTTATGAAAAAACGATAAAGAAAATACTTTTTTCACTCAAAGATTGTCGTTGAAAAAATTACTTTTGATCCTGACGGTTGAACTCTTCGTTAAACGGGAACCGATGAATAAATATATCGACGGGTTGAGACTTGAGCCTCTATCGAAAAAAATTGTACAACAATCGTGTAGAAAAAATGACCGATTTAAAAAGCCGTAATTTTCGAGGAAAAAGATCGGTTGTCTGAAGATCGAATCGAGATCGCCCATCACTGCTCTCTTCCTCTTTCTTCCCTCTCTCTCTCTCTCTCCCCCCCTCTCTCTCTCTCTCTCTCTCTCTCTCCCTCTCTCTCTCTCTGTCTCGTCCGCTCGCGAGGAGGAAAAACGGATCTCTGCTCGCGAAAATGTCCAAGCACGAGAGAGGAACGCGCTCGATCCGCCGGGACGACGCGGAGGGAGGTGGGGAGGGGAGGGGGAGGGCAGCGAAGTAGTAAAAGCCGTCGTTGAGAGGACGAGGCCCCGTTATCAGGATGGATAACGGTGATAATGATCCGTTCTCTCGCCGAGGCGCTTATTAAAAGTGTCGCTTAAAAAAAGATGACTCGAGACACGCGCTCTCCGACGGGGAAAGAGAGGGGGAAAGGGAGAGGGGGGCATGTCGGGGCTATCGCGGCGAACGGAGCGTCGAGCCGAGAAACTAATATTCCGTTTACTTTTTCCTCGTAGACCGCGCGTCGCCGGTTATCCGCGCAGATTCCGCGAGCATTCGCGGAACGCGATAAGTCTCCTTCCACGGGACCTCTTCCGTTCTCCATATCTGAACGGTAGTGGTTTCCTCCCGAGGAACAAGTGACAAAGTACACGCATACCAACACACACACACACACACACACACACAAAGGTCCCACCGCCGCGCGTAGCCGCGCAAGGCGCGAATTATCTCCCGCTCTCGGCTGGGTAGTTTTCGTAGGTGAGGGGAGAGGGGGAGAGGTAATAATGTAATAATCCGCGAGAAAAAGGGGAGGGAGGGCGGGGGAGGGGGGTAACGACGCTCCGGCGGTATTTAAAGTAATAAGCGGGTAAAGGACCACAACGATGATTTCCAGCTCGTATGAAAGCACTTATAAGGTGATCCGCGAGGAGACAAATCGCCGTCGTCGTCGTCGTCGTCATCGTCAGGACGCACCGGCCGGCCGGCCGGCGCGCGTTGCCGTTATATTGCTTCAGCCTTGGCTCGGATTCGCCCGGAGCGAGCTCCGAAGGCGACGACACGCTTAGGACTCGACGCGAGCGCGATCGGGACGTTTAACGTCCGTGAATCGCCGCAGCGACGAGGAGAAGAGAAGTCAGCAGTGCAAAGTCTCTGAGTTTTCCGCGCGCGCCGTCGCGCGAGCGCCGCGGTCACGTGACCGGCGTGGCGTGGATTTACGAGCATTTCTTGTCGAGTCGCCGACAAACAAGCGAGGAAACTCAAACTGTAACTTCTCGTGAAGCGGCCAACCGGAGGAAAGGACTCAGCAATGAAAAGCACGGAATTACTCGGGGTGGCGCGACGCTCTCGCCGGCTTCTCGACGGCTCCGACGCTCCGTCGCAGCAGACGTCGCCATGACGTCGCGCGAGTCCTCGCGAAGCGAGTCGCCGCCGACGAGGCGGGGGGCGATCGCTCGCGTTTGATTAGCAGTTTCGAGGATTCGATTATGTCATCGACGGAGATTGGCTGAAATGAGCTCTCGTTCGGAGCAATCAATTTTTATTATTAATAATTCGCCATTCACACCCCACGTGAGCCCGTGACCTATTGCGAGCCCTTCCCGCCGGCTCGTTTGCGTCACGTGTCTATTTTATGCGCGCGGCCCGCGCCGCCGTCGTCGCAGCATCGATCCGCGGGATCGCTTATTTATAAACAAACCATACCAAGCCGAGAGACGACGCGTGTCCTGCCTGCCTGTAATTGGCGCGGCAATTTGTAAACAGACTCGTGCCGACGACGTGTGCGCAGCAAATAAGAGCGCCGCGACGCCGTCGCGCGCGCGCGCGCGCGCGCGCTTTTCGGACTGTTCCCGCAAGGGACGTTCGCGGCCGCGACTCCTTCGGCGAAGGAGCAATGAGGCGAAAAGCCGAGGAGACGATTCTCGCGCACCGAGGTCGACGAACCTCACCGCCGCCGGCGGCGGCGGAGCAAAAGGTTCCGCGAACGAGTTCGCCACGCCGGACTCTCGCGGCTACCGACTTCGCATTTTACCGCTTTTCCCACGGCACCTTTCCCTCCCTCCTCGCCCTTTCCAGCCGCTAAGTTGAGCTTGTTGTTTCATCGCGACGTCGTCGCGGCGTCGGAAGGAGGCCGAAGTCGTTTAGCGCGGGAGAGCGCAGGAGAAGGAGAAACCCGCTAGAGGACGAGCGCGCGCGATGCAGTCGATCGCTGGAAAACTACGCCATCGGCGACCACGTCGGGCGGGAGGAGGCGGCGGGCAAGGGGGGGATTAAGGGTTTGGGGCAGGAAGAGGAGGACGAGAAGAGGACGTGGGTCGAGCGTGGAATTATTCAGCGTGGCATCGACCGTTCGCGGCGAGAGCGAGACGGGGCTGCATGATCGCGGCCGGGTGCGATGATTTTATCGAGAGAGACGACGAGAGAGACTCTCCCTCTCTCTCTCTCTCTCTCTTTCTTTGTCGAGGTCTCACGAGCGATCGGATATTTTTCTTCGCCGCCGCCGCCGCTGATAGATACCTGACTTTCGGCATCTGAGACTGCCGAAATTTCCACGGATCGTCGAGTGTGAACCGACGCGGAGGGCGGACGAAGGCTACGAAGGTTGCAGGAGCGGCGGAAGGAGGGCGATGGGCGGTGGGGCGGGGGGGAGGGGGACGGGAGCAACCTGCCCTTCGAAAAATGCGCCGCAGCTCGACGATTCGTTCGGAGAAACGTTTTTCTCCGTCCGGTTCCCGGAGCGAGCGATGACGAGCCGAGAAAAACGAAGAGGAGGAGGAGGAGGAGGAGGAGGAGGAATGTTCCTCTCTCTCTCTCTCTGTCCGTCTGTCTGTCTCTCCTTCAAAAGAAATGTTCTTCCGATCTCAACGCGTGCTCTCTGCCACGTTCATTTCCACAAATTATGTTCTGCAGTTTGACTAAAAACTGCGGAATATAAATCGCTATAAATCTCGGATGTTTGTATGTAAGTTGAAAGTCACGTGATAGAAATTGAATGCCAACAGTGGGTTCGAGTAATATCATGTATCGCAATTGGCGTTACGTTGTTTTCCCGGATTAATCTGAGTGCACTGTGATCAAATGTTTACGTGATGACAGACGAATACATTTGGCCCGACGTGATCCAACCTAACCTAACTCGCTGCGATGTACCTGCGATAATTTAATTTCCAACCCAGTTAAAACAAGCGACATCCATCCGCACACATGTTAACAGTGAGAAATACACGAGCGCGCTTATTCGGGAAAGTAATGTAATATAGTAGTGACAACTTTTTTGTCGTTATTTTTTGTCGTTGAATTGTTTGTCGGAATCGAACCTTTTGCCGATGGAAATGCGTTTGTTTGGACTCGTTTCGAGTATTTCCGTGAACATTCGACAGAACGTGACTGGTTCTCGAAAAAGTTCATCCTCCTCCCGTATCCATCGACTTTAAGCTCGACTGAAACTCACACATCTGCCATCTCAAATAATGCTCATACCAACTAAAACTAAAAGATTACCTCGGCTTGAACCGACACTTCACGACTCCTTTTCCACTCCCACCCTCAACGAAACGCATAATCAACCCGGCCCGCTCGAACAATCTCAACGACCCATCGCGCGTGGTGCACCCCCCCCTTCCCCCGAAGGGGAGCCTCCGGCGAAGGCTTCTTCCGAAGTCCTACCTAACCTCCATCAAGTGCCGAAAAAGCGGTTCGCTGAGAGAAACGCACCTCTCACCGACCGCTCGCCCCGATCATCGCTCGAGCTTGCGACCGCCGCCGGCAGCGACGAAGCAAACCGCAAATCCCCGGAGGATTATGCCGCGCTTCATCTCGGCTGACGTCGCGGAATGGAAGCCGCGTCGAAGCCGCGTCGAAGCCGCGTCGTTGTCGCTCCAACGACAACGACGCGTCGTCGTCAACCTCGGCGAGCGTATAGCTCGGCTAACAAATTTTCGCCGCCCGTTTGCAGACGCGCGACGATCCCCCTCCCCCGCCCGCGAGATTCGATTCACCTATTTCCTTCTTCTCCCCCGCCCCCCTCTTCACATCAATGCCAGGTGGCGGCGCAACGTGACACGCGTGGCTCAAACGAACACGTGGCGCGCGCCACGTGGGCGGCGAGAAGCCGGCGGAATTTTCGCGCCACCGCGTATATCGCCGAGGCCGGCCGGCGATCCGCCGGGGCGGGGGGGGGGGGATCCGGCGGGGAAGGAGCCGCGCGTCTCGCGTCCCGCGGACGGGATTCCCGTGCGCAACTCGCGTTTTTCCGTTTTAATTCGCTCGCGTAATTACGTAAGCTCGCGCGTATATCAGCGGAGGGGGGGGAAGGAGGAAGGGAGGGAAGGTTACGCAAGGCAGGTGAAATCCCTTCGTCCGTCGCCCCCTCCTCTTCCCTCCCATGCAGTGTGATGCGCGTTGCGACGGTGCGCGAATCGTCGATCCGCGGATGACCGCCCGAGTAGCTCAATTGAGGGATGGTGAGAGAAGGGGAGGGGGAGGAAATGGCGCATCTTCCTTTTCTCACGGGGACCACGTGCGAGGAGTCGCGCGCGGAATTCGAAGGCGCGGAACGAAGGCGTCGAGAGAGTAAACAGATCCTAAATTCGTCCTGAAACCTGTTTCCGGCGGCACGGCCGAGCTGACGAGCGCAAAGGAGCGCAGATGTACCGTGACCGCCGGTTACGTCACGAACTACATCACCGATGGCGAACCGGGACAAAAAAAAGAGAGAGACTCACCCGCGGCGATACTGCGTCGCAGCCGAGGACGAACGCCGCTCCGCCGTGGTATCCTGAAAAACAATATCAGCGTGAGCCTGCTTCCGCCGTGAGCTGTGCGTCAGAGCGAAAGAGAAGTCGGGCGAAGTAGCAGAGTTCAGGCGAGGTTAGGTTCGCCAGAAATCTCGGTAATTTAGAATACGAATCTGCGATCTCACTCACTCTCTCTCTCTCTCTCTCTCTCTCTCTCTCTCTCTCTCTCTCAGCATCGCTCTCCCGCATCTCGCCCGAAAATCTTCCCGCTCAAGCTTTTCCCCTCGTCCAGGCATAACTTCATCTTCTTTTCTTTTTTCTCCGCTCTCGTCTCGAGAGAAGTAAAACAGTCAACGCGTTCGTCGCATAGGTTATGCCTGATGAAAGAAGCCTAAAGGCGCATTCATACCTGGGCAGAAAATCAGAAAGCAGAAAGGCAGCAGCCAATCACAAATGGCGCTGATAGTCTGTCTCTCTCTCTCTCTCTCTCTCTTGCGAGAGTTTTTCTCTCTGTCGCTCTCTTGGCTGCTGCCTTCCTGCTTTCGGATTTTCTGCTCAGGTGTGAATGCACCCTAAGGGCAAATTCACACCTGGACAGAAAAACAGAAGTCCTCTCGGAAGTCGCGCTGATAGTCTGTCTCTCTCTCTCTCTTGCGAGAGTTTCTCACTTTATCATTCTGCTGTTCTGCTTTCTGCTTTTCTGTGAAGGTGTGGGTCCGCCCTAAAGAAGGATTCACACCTGGGCAGAAAGGCAGAAAGCAGAAAGGCAGTATCCGATCAGAAGTCGCGCTGATAGTCTGTCTCTCTTTACTATCTCTCTCTCTCTCAAGAGAGAGAGAGAGAGAGAGAGAGAGACAGACTATCAGGATGAGTTCTGATTGGTTTCTGCTTTTCTGCTTTCTGCTTTTTTCGCCGGGTGTGAATTCGCCCTAACGGTTGAAACGTTTCGCACAGAAATCCCTGCGACCTGATCGAACTGGCCGCGATGGGAAGTTCTCGCGAGACCACCGCGAGAAGTCAATCGAGTTGCGTAACACGATGAAGTCCACCTCGGGCTGGGAGATTAAGTAAAGCAGGCGATACGCTAAGAGAGGAATGAGATGGTAATCTCATTGAAATTATAGTCGTCCTCGCTGCGTTGTTGTGTCTCTCCGCAGTTATCTCGCTCCAAGATAAAAACAGCGGCGATATAATGTGTGCATAAGGAATTGTTATCGTCAACGCCGTGGAGAGGTGGTTCTGCCGCTCTCAGAGAGAGAGAGAGAGAGAGAGAGAGAGAGAGAGAGAGAAATGCCTCGAAAGTGTAATCTAAAAAATTTACTTCTGCGACAGAAGTACCAACAATTCGCTCGTGTGCAAATATTTCCCTCGCACACCGAGAAAGAAATTTGCTTCAACCGGGAGAGTATAATTTGTGAAATTGCATAACCTTTTTCGAGGTCGAGCGGAATTTCTCGTCCGCGTTATAAATTTTAATTAAGTAGCCTTCGTTAATGTGCTAATGTCCAGTAATCTGTAAGTTTTGATCGGTCAAGTTGCTGATTGAATTAATCTCGATTACATGTGTCGCTAGTTACCACTTTTTCCCCCCTCACATAGTACACAGAAACGGATTGAGACCGGATTTCACGTCACGTGTTCCGCTCGCGATGTAAATACGACGAATGGGTGGATCGAATCGGATTATGATCGCCCGATCGAGCTGAGCATTGATTTCTTATTTCCATAATTGAGAGATTGAAAGAAGAACGCGCAGAAAATCTCGCGCAGAAAAGAGAACGTGGGCGGCGGCGGCGGCGGCGGCGGCGGCGTCGTCGGGGGCAGGTGGGAGGGGGGAAGGGGGAAGGGGGAGGTCGCCGCACACGCCAAGATCGAGTTCGTTTAACTCGACTCGAGTCGCTTCGCGATGGAACCTTCCTTTCATCTTTTTTCTTTTAATGGCCCACGCTCGGCGATTTATTTCCGAGCGAGCCCGTTATGTTTCCGCGCCGCGCGGCGACACTTTTGCGCCTCGGAGTCGACGTTGCGACGCAAATGCGGGAAGTATCCGCGCGCGCGCGCGCGCGTTATCGGCGAAATAGGAATACATTACCGTTCCTGCGAGTTCGTGATCTTCGCAGGATCTTTCACGGCAGAGCGCTGTGTTGAGCATACACCGCTGCTGCTGGTATTCCCGGTCGCGCGACGCTGAGAAAAGTGCTTGCTGATCGCTGCGGGCCACGTGCGCGTGAACGTACGCAACTACGCAGCTGACGTAGAAAAAAGAAATCGATCCCCGGCGGGAGAATTCACGCCGATTATGGCCAGGAGACGCCGCGCCGCGCCGCGCCGCGCCGCGCGGAACGAGCGAAGGACGGCCGCTATTCAAATTTCGACCCGCGCCGCGGCTCTCCTCGATTTTTCGTCAGCCGCGTTCACTCCGAATAACGCGGCCCGCAGGACGAAAATGTCTCTCCTGCGGGAGAGGCGACCAAGAATTTGCGCGGAAAATCGGCGATCGTTGAGAGACACCAAATATTTCAATTAAACGTGTAATTAATTCCATTGTATTGTTAATTAAATTAAATTAAAGATACTGAATATGATATATGATACGGTTGGGTGAGATATTTAATTAAACACTTTAATCACACGTTACATTATTATTTTAATAGCGCCGCAATTGGGGATAGAGAAGAATTACACGTTAAAAGTAGTGTTCTTTGCGGGAACATGACGCGCTTCCGTCCGCTCGATCGCAAAAAGTTGATGTCAATTTTCAACTTCTTCCCCCGCACGGTCGAGGATATTTGAAGTGCGCGACATATTAAAATTGGAGGAAAATCGAAGACCAAACTCGCGGCGTGCGATCGCGCGGGTCGCGTTAGAAACGCAAATTGTATACCGTATCGAATTTCCGTCGAAACGTTCTACATATTTTTTTTTTTTACATGAAAGTCAACATTCCTCGGCGGGTTTACGTGCGTTCATTGCGCGCGTGTGTTTTCATCCCCCCTCTCTCTCTCTCTCTCTCTCTCGACTCTGGTTTTTCTCTTTCTCGTCACCGGTGAGGCCGCAAAGTGATTCTGAATCGCTCAACGCCGTCAACGACGAAAACAACTGCGCATCGCGATCCGATTAAAGCATATCGGACGAGGTGCGCCTTTATCGCCGCGCGACGCGGATAAAAAGGCGACAAAAAATGCTGAAATTCGCGCTACCGATCGCGGAAATACAAAGACTCGTCGCTTTTTGCGCGCCATAATCGATTGCTTTTTTGCGCTTTTGCAACGATCTCTCTCCGGAGTCGGACGATTACGCGCACAGGACCTTTGCCTTTTCCTCTCGCTGCTTCTCCTTCGCCGTTGTCGTTCGTCGCCATCGTCTTCGTCGTCGCGAGAGCTCATGCATTTTAACGACAATTTTGAAATTGTAATTCGTAGCCGCTCGAGCGTCTGAAAAACTGATCGGTCCCACCGCATAATTTCGCGACTCGCACGCGCGCTCTTTTCCCGGAGAAACGCGCGACGTGTTTTCGCGAGGATTTGCCAGCACGGACGGGCGGAATGTTCCCGAAAGAAAATTTCGCGAAGGCAGACGAAGGAGGAGACGAAGGTGCAGCCCTCCAGGTTTACCTCGACTTTCATCTCGACGGCATCTCTCCTTCCCCGAGAAGAAAATTTAACAGGGCTCTGCTAAGGGCCTGATTATTTTTCCCTAACATTAATCGGGCCCTGGTAGGGATAGAAAGACAAGGTCCCTGCAAGATGTGTAACAAATGGTTTAACGGGGTCCTTATAGGGCAATATTAATAGGGCCTTAAAAGGAAATATTTTTTATTATTGCTTGAGTAGAAACATTCGTTCTTTTTATTACAAGAAATTTAGACTGTAATTTCTTTATTTCTTTATAACCTTGTTAGTATACAAGGAATTTTTTATTTTAAAAATATAGCAATCTTTACACATAAAAATCCTGCTGCTTATTATTATTAAAACTTATTGCATTTCAAAACGAAGGCAATACTAGGAAAATCCTTGGAACAGACTAATGTAATAAAACTTATAAAATTTGTGTTTAGTTGCGGTATAATTGAAAAATCTTTAAAAGAACCAGATAGAGCGTATCTACTAAAACAATACTAAACTATGACAATTTTACTACACTTACGCTTCAGATCTTATTAATTTTCTATAACGAAACTTGATTTTGTGTATCTAAAGTATCCTCTCTTAAAGGATCCTTCTAAGGCCCACATCAGTTTTCCACGTTAAAGCGTTATTTCGTAAAATCTAAGGCATCCCTAAAAAAAATCCTCCTAAAGCCTTTATCAGTTTTTCCTATCAAAGCCTTATTTATTAGATCCAAGGCATCCCTAATAAATCCTCCTCCTAAGACTCTTCTCAGCGTTTCCTATCAAAGTCTTATTTGTTAAATAATCCAAGGCGTCCCTAAAAGATCCTTCTAACGCCCTTCTTAGCTTTTTCTATCAAATCTCTTATCTCGTAAAATCTAAGTTATCCCTAAAAGATCCATCCCGGGGCCTGATGTGGTAATAATGAAGCATCCCTTTTTAGGGGGCATCCTACTTTCAGTCTTATCGGAGTCTCGTGCTTCATGAAGATGGCCCTAACAATTTTTTGCTCGGGTCATCTCCTCGCCCGCGCACGTTATCGTCTCTTTCCCCCTCTCTCTCTCTCTCTCTCTCAGAGGAGGCGGACGGAGGCTAACCAAAGCAGACCGACGGTCGGTTTCGATTGACTTACGTAATTAACGGACGCGCGCGCGTTAAATCGCACTCAATTGAATCACAATAACTATTATCGTTATTGTCGCATTGTTGCCGTAAGCTCGCTTTAACGACGCGTCTGACGTCGCGTTGCGTAAACCGTTGCGTCACCGGCGCGCCATGGAGCCGCGCGATAATTACTAATTATCGTGCAAATCGTCGGATTATCCGACTCCCTCGACGAAATATCGCGCGACGGCGACGTCGCGAACGAACGAAACGGCCGATCCGGTCGCGGGATAAAACGCGATCGCGCCTGGAAACGGGAAGAAG